CCCATATTCAAGGTCACAGGGGTCAAATATGTTAAAAACTTTAAACAACTTCTTCTGAATAACCAAAATGCCCTGGGTGATGATATTTAGTCAGTAGCATACTAGGATCAAGGGCTACCAAGTTTGTTTAAATGTATGACCTTGAATCATATTCAAGGTCACAAGGAGCAAATATGTTTAAAATATTTCAACAACTTGTTCTGAATAACCAAAAGGCTCAGGATGTTGATATTTAGTTAGTAGCATATGCTGGGATCAAGGACTACTATGTTTGTTAAAGTGAATGACTTTGACTTATATTCAAGGTCACAGGGGTCAAATTTGTTTAAAATCTTTAAACAACCTCTTATGAATAACCATGGGTCCCAGGATGTTTAGACTTTGCAAGTTGCATCCTGAGATGAAAGGCTATACAATGTGTTCAACATAATGACTTTGTTCGACTTTCAATCACAGGGGTGAAATGTTTTAAAAAAAAATAACAGGGTCTTTTGAACGAATTTTGATCATAAATACTGATATTTTGCCTGTAGCTTTATTTTAGATCACTTTTAAGGTTACAAGTGTGAGTTTTATACCAGGTGAGCGATGCAGGCCCATTGGGCCTCTTGTTTAGATTTTGCCACAGGAAAGTAAAATTATACCCTGTTATTTGTAAAATACAGAATATAACCAGATGGGTGTTAGGAGAGCTTAAATATGGCAAAATTCAATTGTGTTTTCTGTTACAATCAACAGCTGATTTGTAAACCGGTTTAATACTTACTCGGTTTCTTTAAATACTCTCTTAAATTTCAGACAAAATGTCCCATTTTCAAAAATATTTCTTGCTTGTACAAGTAGAGATCTTAGAAAGGGTTCTTTGAGGATGTTTGCTTTTATCAATGTTGGAAAGAATACCAAGATGTTTTTTTCTTGTTGCTAGATTTAGTGCTACACATAATACAGGTATTTGTTTCATCTATTACCAAATATTGGTGTGTTATAATGGTGAATACGACATGTCTCTAATGTTTGTAATGTTTGATTTCGGTGTTTCTTGCACAAACACTTCAGTTTCAAATTGATGTTTTTATACTTTTAATTGTCCGTGTAAACTAGCTACAACAAAATCAGCGACGCACAAGTCAAACATACCAGTATCTTTGTTCAAAACTTCCGATTCATTGTTACTTATTAGTTAAAACTAGACTTTGTATTTCATTTTTTGTCTGAAGTAAAAAAAATGTTTCCACATGTAATTAATGTTACTCGGTGGTATCAATAAGTAATTTTATACATTATTTGTTGGTTTTAACATTGGGTCAAGGTGAAAACAGTTCCTCTTTCAGTATAATTGGAGAGGTGACTTGAAGGCCCTTTATTTCCAATATTTACACGTTTTCATTTTGGTCAGTTGAAATTTAACAGCAACAAATCACTTTATATTTTTTCATCAAGATTTCATGAAGGAAAACTTTATTTTGAAAATATTAATTGAAGTCAATAATCAATCAGCAGGTGTGCCAAGCACACTGGTATTGTATATTTTAACTAGCTGAGCAGTTATATATAAAGCTAGACAGTACGGGAGCCCTTGTATGTTACTGGTGGTTTTGTTTGTGGGTTTAAGTGTATAGTAGGTATAAAGGGATTGAATGTCATTTTACATTTATTTATAAGATTTGTACCTCAGTCACATGTCCAATATGTGTTACAATTATATATATATGTGTTACAATAACACAAGTCCATATATAAGTAGTTTTACTCGTTTTATTTGTAAATAGAAATGTACTGATAATGTACAATTCATCGTCAAGTTTCGTAGAAACCTGTTTATGTGTCGTACGACTCATTATCTCTATGGCAATACTTGTAGTTGTGGGTGTCATGTTCATTAAGAGCAAGATTTGTACAATCTTACCATTCATCAATACTTTCATTCATTACTCTGTGAGATAAAAATCATCCATAACTTTTTATAGATATTTATGAGTTTAGTTTATTTCCCAGTCCTGGGAATATATCAAAAATATTTGATTACATAATTTCATAATGAATTAAAAGAGAAATATTGTGAAATATAATTGTTGTTGTTGTTTATTGTTACAAAATATTACATCAGCAAGAGGCCCATGAGGGCCTGTATCATTCGCCTGGAAATTTTAATACATGCACTAGTTTGTAGAAGTCACTTTTGAGCTTTGTTTTCAACAATGTACCCACATCAACCACGAGGTGGGTTAGACTGGAATGTAGCCACAAGTTTGTCCAGACTGCTTTCAAAGTACTGCATAGTGTATAAATGATTTGGTAGAAATTTGGGCCCCAAGACAGTTATTTGAACAATTTTATAGCAAATACCATAATTCCAGGGATTTTAGTTCTTGAGCCTTGAAAGTAGGTCAAGGTGATCTATTTTAAATACTGAATCCACTTCATCCCAGGAAGCTTCATTCAAAATTTCTTGAACCTATGCCAAATTTTTCTAAAGATGTTAAAAGAAACAAATTGATGAGGGATGCTGCACTGTGGCAAAAGTTAATAGGTACTTTGTGCCAGGGGAGCTAACTTTCTCATACGTTACATCCACATAACTAATCAGATATTTATGCATTTATAAAATAGCTTTTATCTATATTTCTGATGTCTGAGGTCCTTTAAAGAAAACATTAGTAAGTTTTAAAATTTGACAAATAAACTGCCTGGTCATAGGAATGCCTAGAATCTGGCAGGTTTGACTAGTCGACTTGCTATTTTAAGGCCGAGTACTAATGTAAGGAACTGGTTCCTTGCTGATGTTGTGTATACAAAAGTGTATGGCTGCAGATGGGACATCCCCAACCAGTTCACATTACAGTAAAACATTTTGGGAAGTTCACTTCATCCATAATGACATTAAGATTGGAAATTGTTCAGTCCGTAGTGTCCTTTCCATATGTCTGCCTGACCAGCAGGCATGCAGTCAATAGCGAATAATCCTCCAGGTGACACCTGTTCACAACAAAGACCAGCTTTGGTAGGAGGAATATGCTGCTCCAGAGGAGATGTCTGGTCCACAGTAGAGGTTGTGGCCCACAGCGGAGGTCTTGCTCCAGTCCATAGTAGAGTTTGCCTTTCTCTGGTCCCAGTTGGCTGGACATTATTCTTGTCATGTCGAATACCACATTACCTTGCTTGAGGTATACCATCTTGATTCTCTCCTCAGATGTACGATGACATTTTACAATGACCTGTAAAACATACATGCATTGGTTAACTCCACACAAGCACCTGACATGAACAGATGTAATGATTTGTTGCTTGTGACAAAGCCAATAACAAGAGGCCCAGTAAGCCTGTATCGCTCGCCTAGATAATAAAGCAACCATAAAGAATTATTTGTATTAGATATAATACTCTTAACTATTTCCAAATATTGGCTCTGTCTCTCAGCAACACCCGTCCCTCATTAGATCCCTTTCTTCCATGAATTAGGGTGGATTAATCTCAATTTCCCCTATTGTGCCTGCCCCCTAAAAGCAAGCATCTATTTATACACAATTTAGTCCCCTTTGCCCAAGAATACTCTACACAAAATTTGGTTGAAATTCCTCCAAAGAAACTGAAGGAAAAGGATTTCAAACATTTAATACTATGCCCCCCTATGTTGAGATAAATATATGACCAAGTGTAATTGAGACAATGTTTATGTTCAATTATTATAGAGTTTCCTGTTGTCCCATAGTTTAGAGGTATACAATTAATTGCTGGCTGTCGGTGCACCGGTGCTGGCCATAGAATTAATTGTCTTATGTCAGATAAGGCTTAGTATATGACCTGTCAGGGTCAAGGGATGCTGAACTGTACTTCCTGTCTATTTGCACCTGATAGCGATGTGCTATGATATTACACTGTATCTATGTTATTTGTCAATCCCAGATCAGTCCTTTGAGCTAGGCACACGTCTATGTTAGCCCTTGCAAACTGAACCAAATTTGGTTACAATAATTCCAACCATACTGAAGAAGAAGGTTTTGAAGATTTAAACCTTAAATTCCCCTTTTAGGCCCAATCTCGCTGCATGCAGGGGCCACATCCTCAGTTTATACGAAATTAAGTCCCTTTAACCAAGGATGCTAAAAATAACTCCAATTGTTAAGAAGAAGAAGGATTTTTAAGATATAAACCTCAAATTCCCCTATAAAGCAGCACCATGAGGGGCCACAACCTCAATTTATACAAAATTGAGTCCCCTATGCTCAAGGATGTTCCAGGCCAAATTTGGATAATATCCCTCCAATGGTTCAGAAGAAGAAGGATTTTAAAGGTTTTAACCTCAAATTCTCCTATTGGGCCCCGCCCGTCAGCATGCAGAGGAGCCAAATTTTGCCAAAATCAATAATGTTGTTCAGGACTAGTAATGTTTTAAAGGAAAGGTGGACGGACGCCGTGGTATGGCATAAGCTCACCATGGTCCTTCGGACAAGGTGAGCTACTAATCAGCTTCTTACAGGAATCTGAACTCAATACACATTTAACTTATTAAGACAAAGTGACAAAACGTGTCACAACGGTTTAGTGACCAAACTTATTATGAAGATTAAGTGACCAATCTTGGCACAAAGGTAGTGGGATCAACCTTGTCACTATGATAAAGTGACCTGATTTGTCACTAAGATACACTGACTAACCATGTAACCATGAGTTAAAATGTATATAAGTTATTCTGCAATAGTATCCAAAACAGTTGAATGTTGAGATCTGACATTCTGACAATCTCTTAAACCTTGAATATTACCTATGAACTCTGATACTGGATCACTCCCGTCGTCTGTCCTGATGGAGCCTGTGATAGCCTTGTTCTCTATCAGAGGGAGGAATAGGTGGACAAACTCTGGTGTGTAGGGAGGGGCAATAATGTCTAGGATCTGAAACAACAGGCAAATATCTATCAGTACACACCATTTTTGTTCCATGTTATTTATTGAGAAGGGATGGTTAGCCCTACTGATTAAATCAATTTTCAGCACATGCATTGATTTCAACTAATTTAGGGGGAGGGGATTGGTATGAGGCTGTCTGTCCATCTCACTGAACACACAAGTTTGTCTGGACTATTTTTACAGTACTACAGTACTACAGTACTACAATGAAAGTTTCTATGCTTATTAGTATGCAAGGTACAAGTAGTTGTTTAAATCACTACATAAACCGTTCTTCTAAAAGGTGAGATAAGATTTTAATTAACTCGTTCACCCCTGAAGACACATTTGAACACTTCCAATTCAAAGGTTGGAATAGTTCAGTTCAGGGGTGAATGAGTTAATGATCTAACAAAATACAGCTTTATCTCAGAAGGTTAACAAATGAAGGATATAATTCTTCCAAATCTTTTTTTAATTCATATTTAAGAGGCCATTCAGTTTGTATCTTAATATCACTTGTAAAAATTGAAAAGAAATATTCTTGCTAAATTAAGTTAAGGTGCTTACCTCTGTGACAAAGTGCCTGACCAGGGAGATGTCGGTGTCCGGTTTGTCCACACAGTTCTTGACATAAGTGACCACAGGCAGGACAAAGCCTCGACTGAACAGGTGCACCATCCTGTCAAGGACCGTCTTCTTCAGCTCCAGCTACAAAGGGTCAGGGGTCAGTTAAAATAAGGTCAGGTCAGCGGTTCAATACATGTAGGTTTTGAATCAGATAATAACTACATAAAAATATAAATGTAAATACATCCTACATCATACAGAATAAGGTCAGAGGTCAGGGGTCAGTTTAAATAAGGTCAGGTCAGTGGTTCGATACATGTAGGTTTTGAGTCGGATAATAACTACATAAAAATATAAATGTAAATACATCCTACATCATACAGAATAAGGTCAGGGGTCAGATCAAATAAGGTCAGGTCAGCGGTTAGATACATGCAGGTTTTGAGTCAGATAAAATACATCATTGATCATACAGAGTAAGGTATGGTCAGGGGTTAGATCTAATAAGGCAAGAATTTATTTGATTTTAAATATTCTATGAAAAAACATGGTTACCAGTCAATGAACATTTTACCACAACTCACTTGCAACAAAGCAAAACTTACATAAATTAGCACCTTCCACATCACATGTTCATGCATCTGCACTTCAATCCTAACCATCTCTATCTTACATAAAATGTTACAGTAACTGCAATCGTATTTTTGTATACCCCCGTTTCGACTGAAGTCTGGGTATAAAGCATTTGATCCCATCTGTCTGTGTGTGTTTGTCTGTGCTGACTACATTTACTGGAGCATATCTTCGTCACTGTTTCAAGAATGGGCATCAAACCTTGATTATACCTAGGTACATCACGGAAAGGCAGTGTGTCAAACCTTAAATGAGGTCACTGTGACCTCTATTTGACCATTGACCTTTGCCACAAGCTCTGAAATACAGATTTCTGGAGCATATCTCACCCACTGTTTCTTGAATGGGCATCAAACTTTGTATATACCAGGTAGGTCACTGTTACCTCTATTTCACCTGACCTTTGTTTAAAGATCTAAAATACAGGTTTCTGGAGCACATCTTTGCCACTATTTATAGTTACATACTTTGAAGGCAGTGTGTGGCATCCTGAAATGAGGTCACTATGACACTTTCTTGTCAAACTACAACACTAATAATGGGGGGGGGGTATCTGTGAAGACCACGCTCTACAATCTAGTTTGTTATGTGTGTAACGCTAGTGTCATAACAAATTTTACTGTTTGAATAAAACACGCAACATAAAACTGTATAGAAACACAATGTCAGTGACTTACATCAGCCTAGCTGGATTCTACTAGGTACCTACCCTCACAAGGACATCCAGCTCCTCAAACTGAGACTCAAACAGCTTCACCAGCAGCTCCAGGGCTTTTAGGTGGAGCAGGTGGTGATTGGTCACAATCTGTAACACAACACAGTTACTCGGACACACGTAAACATGACAGATACTTATAAATCTTACAGTAATTCAGATATAAACCTGAGTCATTCAGATATAAACCGGAGTCATTCAGATACTAACATACCTGATAGTTACTTTGACACTCACACAGATTAATGTAACGTTTATCAGTTTACAAGGGTATGACCTGTATTATGTATTTTAACAATGAATTCCATGTAGCTATTCATTATAACCTCTATTGCTTCAACAACTCAACAATGTTGTCACAAATCTAAATTTCTGTACTTATCAAAAAATATTGAATTTGGCATTCATCTTTATGAAACATTTGACCAATGAAATTTGGACAATCAAAACAATAATTTACCCGACAAAAAAAAATTTCAACCATATTACAACAAAATCTGACAGCACATAGATTTACGAAACACCACACTCATGTCACTATTCAATAAGTAGCACAATATTCCCTTCACAATATATATCCTTATGTATATGTATTTTTACTATTGATATCGATCACAATATTATCATATGTTGACTACTGACCTCGTCAATTAGCACAAGATGTAGGGGAGTGTGATCTGTGTTAAGCTTGAAGTAACTGGTGTCCGTCACAGTGTAATCCACCCACTTGAGCACTCCAAATGCTATCACAGGGAATCTAGGGTACATAATCAACACATACAAATACCAGGGTACATCCCATAATATATGGTCTGCTGGTTAACTGAACTACTTTTGAAGCAGTTGTAAAACCACTACAACAAAGAAACCACAATAACTAATATTTCCTGACGCTTTCTATAAATGTACAATTTTAATACCATTTTTTTTATATATATTTATAAAATATTTTCTTTCCTTCAAAATATACTGAGAAAATCAAACCATTATGTTGCAAAACATTATTTGTAAAATTATACAAAATTTGATATGGTTCCATATCTAGCTAGAAAAAGGTGATGGAATTTTACAAACAATGTACTGGTAGTCATAAACAAACAGCATGAAAGTTCACAAAGTTTAAACTAACGTAAAATCTCTTTGAAAATGGCTGTTAAGTTCAACACACAGATAATATTCCTTTAAGTGTAAACACAAGGACTTGATGATTATCAACATGCATGTCTTACTTGATGTTTAAGAAGAGCGTAGAAACATCAGCTATAAGCTCTGATGAGCTTTTGTTCTCTGCACACAAAACCTGTACTCTCTCCAGAGCTTGTGTTGTCGGCTTCAACTCGCCTCGGTCGATATTCTTCCTCACTCCCTGTTAATAACACATCACATCATTTTCAGTTCTGAACAAACTGTATCATTTCCAAAGATTCATTGTGACATTGGTATGCACAGTCCTGAAAATTTTGTTTTCCAACCCGCATGGCAAATATCCAGAAAAATAGATATGAAGCTGTGAATCTGGCAGCTATTTTATTTTAAGTGTTGCTTTATATGGACATGTAACACAACAATTTACCATCTTGAATATTTTTTTCACCTTTTTGTCAAACACTGATTTTTCTATTGGGAGAATTACCTTTTCTGCATTGATAAAAAAACTAACGAATGTTAACCCTTTCACCATACTGTAGACCATAATGGACTCTTCAAGATTGATGCATGGTAGAGTTCACTCAAGTTACATAGGGGTGAAAGGGTTAAGGTTATAGTTGTGTAGACTTCACTGTAACGGCCTCTACAGTTACCCTGCGGCACTCACTTACCTTCTTGTAGGTCTCCACCACACTGGCCGCATACGCCAACACGTACACATACTTGGCCTTGTGTTCAGGGTTGATTCGAGATGTCGGCCGGAATAGTGCTTCAATGAGGAGATCTGATGGAAAATATGGAAAACAGTTCTACAGATATCCTTACAGTATATCAAAGTAATTTTATAAAATATCACAATCATAAATATGGTACTGCAATTTTTCACTTTTCACACCTACAGTCCCCAGAAGTGTAGCGAGATTGGAGAATGCAGGGGTCAAACATTGAGAGTGTAAACAGTCACGGCTACATTTGAATATTCTAGGTTGTTTGATACAAACTAAGCAATCACTAAAACCACAGCTTTAATATTATAACCAAGTGTCTCTTGGTGAGAAAATTAATACATCATCCAGTCCCCAAGCAGTAGTCAGTTTATACATGTTTTTAAATGTAGACTTTGGTGATGATGTAACAAAATTATCTAGAGAATGGGGACAGATGTGACTCAGGCATATGGATGATTTTGGGTCAGAATTGTTCATCTTACCTACACAAATTGGTACCAGTATATTTATAACAAAATCAACCCAGAAATAACTTACATAAGTAAAGCAATTACAGTAAGAGAACGAACCTAGAAATGCTGGGACCCGGATGAGGTCAACAGGGGGTGGATTCATCTCGGAGTACATATTGAAGAGCTGTAAAATGATACAAGTTTTGTAAACCAGAAACCAAAAATAATTCTGTGTATAAAAATTGCATGTTTTATGAAGAGCTGTCATTGAAATTAGCAAATGAGCAAATACATAGAAGTGTTTCTAGAAACATGAGAGTACTTACGATGGAGATATCTGCTGGATTGAGGGCATGCCGTGACAACATGGAGGAGAGAGCTGAGCATGCCCGGGGATAGGCTGCTGCCCCACTGAGGGCCAGGGTGATTGGTGTCACATCCAGGCCCCTAAAAACATAAAAACAAAAAGGTAAGTCAACAGAGGTAACAAGGCAGTCAATATCATGTAGAGGGTCACAATCATTCACTGATTAACTGTCAAAAGGTATATTTGATGAAAAAACAATGTGGCATGTGATATAGTGCCCTATCTAGCTAACACAAGCCACTCTAAAGCGCTTTACATTACATAGATATACAGTTAGGATATACAATCTTTGAGGAATTCGCAGGAGCTGCCTTATCAGGCGCTAACTGCTAGTCATATGCCACCTGGCTAATATCTGGGTGTATGTGTGTGTGTATGCCTGTGTGTATGCTGGAGATGTATTGTGTTCTGTTTGTAGTGGGACCGTGCTTCCAACGGCATCTTTTATAGTGCCACCTCATTTGAATGCTACACCACAGATACTGCAACATCCACCCCAGACCATTTTATACTCCACCTGGGTTGTTGGAGTTAATATACGAGTTTGTGATCAGACAAACACCTGACAGTTTTGTCGCATTAACATTGTACTGACCGGTCTTTAGCTCCATTCTGTAGTTCCTGACATAATCTACGAATGTTGGACCCTCCACGTGGTTCATTAGCCAGGATGTGCATCAACACCTGACTATAAAGGTATGTGTGTTCTCCGTGACAAACCATTTTCTGTGGTAAAAACATTGTTTTTATTAAATGTTTGCACCTTTCATATGTTTTATTTATCATTGAAATCTGTTTAAAAAGTTAATGTACATAAAATATTTAAAAGATAATTTAATGAAATAATCCATGTGAATAACCTAAATATACAGAGTTTTGCGACAAATCACATTTAAAAATAGTTTATATCAAAATGTGTTTATTTTGAATCATACTAGGCCTATCACAATTGCACCTCAAAAAACAAATGCAATATCAAGAAAGACAAAGACTGACTTTTTTCAATAATTAATTAATACTGTAAACAAATGAGGCATTCAACAGTATAAAGGTTGACTGTAAGTTATCTAAATGCTTTACGGTGTTCAATGACGTGCATGACTTACTGTGAATTCTGGGAGGTTTTTCTTCACAGCCTCCTCACCTCCTTCCAGTAGACTGGTGATAGACGTTCGTAACACACGGGAGAAAACCTCAATCTGGTGACATGCTGTTGACACTGAGGTTATCTCCCCTTGGTAACCCGCATCGGAGATCAACTAAACATTAATTAAGAGCATAATATTTAAACAGATGCCTTTGTAATACCTGAAAACAAGCAATTTTGATCAACTCTTAATGCCATATATGAAATCTATCTGTAGTGATCAAAATATCATCATATGATAATGAAAATGTATTTCAAGTCAAAGTATCCAAAGGATTATAATTTTTGTTTACCAAACCAGATTAATTTTAAGTTACAATGGTTTCACATAATTGAGCACTCTGGCCCATCAAATTACAATATACAGATCTGTGGTTTGATTGATTAATTATGTTAACAGATACCTTCACAGTGAAGTTCAACATGAGACAGTCTGGATAATCCTCAGCTAGTTTGTAGAAAAGTTCTCTCCATGTGGGGAACTCTATCATCTCTGCAAGCCATGCTGGTGTCTGCAATACACAAAATATGGTTACATAAAATAACATTTTGTAATCCTAAAATTCAAAAATATTATAAATTTCTGAAATGATGTTGTTGTTGAAGCAAGAAATCTCACAGTAGGGATATTATCAGTCTCACTTGATAACAAGAGGCCCATGGACCTAAACGGAGTCCTACGGTATTTATTTTTGTGGTTAAAATATGTACCAATTTGAGTACAAAATAGTTAAGTATAACGTTAACCTAAGTTTGGCAGGACCATGAGTCGATCATTCCTACAAAGTTTCAGTTCAATTGGATCAGCAGAACTTGACTTTAAGTTTGAAATAGTTTTAAAAAATGGCTGCCAGGTCGGCCATATTGGATTTCTGATCGACCCAGAAAATAACAACACTTTGTCAGGACCATGAGTCGATCATTCCTACAAAGTTTCAGTTCAATCGGATCAGCAGAGCTTGACTTTAAGTTTGAAATAGTTTTTCAAAATGGCGGCCGTGGTGGCCATATTGGATTTCTGATTGACCAAAAAAATAACAACACTTGGTCAGGGAGATGTCAGTAACCTTCCCATGAAATGTTAATGAAATCCCTATGCCAGTATTTCAGCTTAAGTTGAAAATGTAAAATGTTAATGGACGAATGACAAAGACAGATAGCAATAGGTCACTTGAGCTAAAGCTCAGGTAACCTAAAAATACCTAGTAAGTCAGCTATGGAGATAATTGTTTCGTAAATTTTGAGGATAATATCCTGATAATTTCAACATTTCTTTTCTTGTACTAAAACTGTATTATGTATTATAGAAAATATTAGATAGTTCATTGTGATTGACTTCCATGTTTTAAACTGTTAGTCACAATTTTCATGTTTGTATACCTGGGGTAAAATATTTATTTTTACATTTTTGATAACTTTGATCGCTTTTCTTTGAAATAACAGTAAATGTCACATTAAGAATGTTACCTCTCCTTCATCTGTAAAAATAGAATCAGCTTTTTTGGGGTCAAAGTGTTTGAGTATCATGGCCTTGAGATGATTTTCAACCATTTCCTGTACAACTTTGATATCCACGCCTACAAATAAGAAGCATACATGTGTAGCACTATATTTAAGTCTGTCAAAGTAAGCCTTTAATTATTCATCTTTTGATCTCATTATCATTATTTCTCATTATATGATATCAAATCTAGGAAAAATAAATCATATCTTCAATAAATGATAATGTAAATTACAAAATAAGTTCCTAAGTGGTTTTTTTCAAGGCCTAATCATTTTGTAATGCCAGTGAGAATGCATATTAGTACATACCAGCCTGTATAAGCCACTCAGCCAGAAGGTTGACGGTCTGGGCAACGGCTGTGTAATTCTCAGATAGCATCTCCACAACCCGCTCAGGGGATCCCCCTGCTTGTAGAAACCTTAAACAGATAAAATAAATTAATTTAGACCCTTGTGTGAAAATATAAACAAGCTTTAAACAGTGAGACCTCAAAATCAAAACTTTTTATAGCGGTGACTCTAACTGCTGTACCTGATTTCTGAATGGAGATATTCATATAAACACTGCATCCACAATTTTCATTGTTTTTACTATCCAGTTTGAATTAATTAATTGTTTGGTTGTGAGAAATAATATGATAGAATCCAAGTTAATGATATAACATAGAAACTTTCAATAAGTTAAGTCCACATATGCATTTCTTTCATTTTCTGTTGTGACTGAAGATATGTAATTAAAACTGTTAGTTGCACATTTCAAACATACTACAATGCTTGAGTGAGTCAAATTAACCCATTCACCCCTGAAGACACATTTGAACCCTTCCAATTCAAAGGTTGGAATAGTTCATTATGAAATTTCAGGGGTGAATGAGTTAACAACATGCTGTATCGATTGATTTTCTTTATGTTAAAGTAATGATACTAAACTTCCATTCTGATTTAACATCCATTTAACTAAATTCAAATCACCTTTTCAAAAACTGGAAAACTCCAGGTTCCATGATGAAATCTTTGGATTCGAAAGCTGTAATACATTCCTGATGGGTAGCCATAGTCTCCTCTTCATCTTCTAAATCGGGGGACTGAGGAAGACATTGTATATGGTCTATTGGTTTAATTAAAACAAGGGTCTTAAAACAGAGTTTTCTCAACTCAGCAAAGTATCTGGGACAATATCAGTCCCTGTGTGATTGGTATTGAAACCCAGTTATATTTGGATATGATTGTCAAAACTTACCAATGTCTATTCCAAAATTGATACTTTTTAAGATAGACAAATCTGTAATATGATGAAAAGAAATAATAACTTAAATCTACTTTGTAAGTCTTGTGGAAGTTTTGTTTACAGATTCATTGTAATTTAACCACCTGAAACACAGCATCTAATTTTCAGTGTTGCTTGACTGATTTCATGTCAGTTGTTGCTCTTCAGGAAATGTGCACAACTACATTGTATAATAATGCCATGGAATGCGACCCTGAACTTCAGACATATGGTATATATATATATATATAAAGCATTATGAAGGTATTACTCAATTGTTTTACAAATTACGTTTTAAATACTGTATATGTATTAAAAGGGATTTGGTACATATGGAATGAGTTGATTAAAATGTCTAACAAATTAATAAGTGTGACTCTTTTGTAGATCTTGTTTCTATTCTATGATGTTAGCATGTAAGGAATCAAGATTATAAGCAATAATTTGTCTGAGAATATAACTCACTATGACTATTTGGAAGAATAAAAATGAACCAATTTTTAACAATAATTAAATTCAGGAACTAAAACTTTTAAAATACTGACATAGCAGTATCAAGAAAATCTTAAAAAAATCAATGAATTACTTTATTACAAAAGACCATGAGTCGTCATGATAACAATTGATGACATCACCACTCCATCTGGTGAAAAGGGACGAATTGACAATATTGATAATGTTAGGGTTTACAATTCAAAAGTTAAGATCCTTCCAACAAATGCCTGTTTTAAATATAAAATACAGGCCCAGTACACTCTGTCGATTGAGCTATATAGCTATAAAGACCTATATAGCTATATTCACCTGTAAATTATAGCTGTATTGAGCTATCATTTTTTCTCAGATTTCGATTTTCATTAAATTAAAGCAAAATCACATAAAACAATAAGGTTTACAGTAATGTTGACTACAAAAGCATACAGTTAGATGTTTATTTTCATTTTGCATCAATGTAAAATTTCCGTTTTTTTATATCATTATTTTTTAAAAAGAATACTTATATTTAATGTCTTTTGTTATCAACCTAATGATACAATCTTCTTTTAAAAGCGACTTCGTTTCGTTTTCCTTAAAAAGAAAATCACTTGAAAATAGCTCAAAAGACCTATTTCAGTTAGGTCAACAGAGCTATTATAGGTCTTTACAACTATATAGCTCAATCGGCAGAGTGAACTGGACCTGAAATAGTTAGCTTGATCTACTGTTAGTAAGTTACTGCCTGGGGTTTTATTTACTCAATATACCGTCAAAAATGTTCGTCTCCATGTTGCACCTATTCCATACAATGTAAAATATCTATATTATTGTAAAACATTGGACAAATCTGAGAAGTTATCTAAGACAGTGTTATGATGACGGTAATCTTGCAAACAGACGAAACGTTACAATTTTACCCTGTTTACATTTGCCATATTGATTACGAATGATCATGACAAGAAAAGATCTACCTCTCCCCCTGCCTCGTCCCACATGTTATCGTCGTCATCGTAATCTGCCATCTCGTCGTTTGGTTGGTAACCACTTTTTACTGTCAAAACAGTAGCAACTGTCTTAATTTTGAAAACCGTTTCCCCCGCACTTTTTACATGGGCGCTGACATCTTGGAAATTGTAACTTCCGCCAAGGGCACATAACTTACAACTTTTTCAGTTACAATACGGAATGCTTGAACGAACTGGTCAACTTTAAATTGACGGTGAGACTTTTAGTGCAAACACTATATTGTTAAATAATTGTCTACTGTTGTATATACTTCGGGTTCTTTTATCCCTTTCCAATATTGTAAGAATTATTTCCCCCCAGATTAACTTTCGTTGCATTAATTAACAACTGATCTGTAACCCGGCGACACAGTTGCTTTAAGTTACAGTACAGACATGATATCAGTCAGCAGGGTAACTTATTAGTAATACACATGCCAGAGTGTCTACATCAGTACAATGTAACATACACATGTAATCTCATTTCGGTATTAAATTGTTGCTCGTTTAATTGTTTACCAAATAAAAAATGATTATTCTGATTGTTCTGAATCTGTTGAGTGTTGGGATTATAAAAAGCTATTTTTCATCCAAAGTAGGCTATCAGCAGATCTGAATCCTTTCATTCTAGATATAATTTTGCTTACTATAAAAAAATATAGCTGAAAAGCAAGTCACTTTTTCCACATATACATCATACATTATCCTTTGCTTCATTTGCTTGTCATATTTTTATTTTTTATTTTTGTTAAAAGGTTATCTTCATGCATGCTGAAGAATGTTTGACGTTTTGTGGAATAGAGCTAAAAGTTTGAATGCCAACAATGTAATATTTGTGGTGCTATGCTGTATCATTGGCTATCTGTTCCGCGCCAATGATTCCTATATACTAAAGCCAGTCTGGCGTAAGCGTGTGGAAACTCAGGCCTACGCTAATGCAGCCTTCCCCACAAGACGGGACCGTGTCCCACCTCCTGTAATTACCGACCTTGAGGGTGATGGAGTCAATGAGATCCTCCTGATTTCAAGTGACTTCAAACTGTCTTCCCTGGCACTTCCCAATGTGACACAGACCGACGAAGATGACCAAACTCTTCCACATGTCATCGTCAAACACAAGGTGGCACTCTCACTGGCTGATGAATCCAATAGATGGAAGAGCAGACCTGTTGTCATGGAAACAGGATTTACTGTACCTTACTTGTCTCTTATGCAAATAAGAAAACAGGTAAGATTATGTGTTAATTAACATAGCTATTTATATGTTCTCTTCAATTTGATACTAAGTGTATATATGCTGTATAGCTGTACCACTATTGAATAAACAAAAAGAAAAAAATGTTTTCATTGAGACACATTTCATATCATGTAGAAGTCTTTTGTTTGTGATAATGTTAGAAAAAACAAGATGCAGTTAGACAGCGATTTATTAATAGATGACTAAAATTCAAATGTATTTTGAAAGTTTCTCTGAGAATGTTTGATAAGTTAAATTGTCAAATGATGTTTAAATGAATTTTGTTTCTCTTCTTAACAGATTATCGTAATTGTCACTGATGATTGGCATGTACTGTGTTATGACTCCGACCTGCAGTTGCTATGGAAAAAGAAACTGATGGATATAAGTCACGTAAAGGACACTTACATTGTAAAGGATATGGGGGTCATTATCACACCTCACAAAGTCAGAAAGGATGACCATGGCCTCGTCATCATTGGGGGCAGTTTCACACACAAAACACACGGCAAAATTGTCACACACAAGTAAGTAAGGGCTTTCAAGGTTTTAAACTCTGACCTCTGAAATTGAATCGAACATGATAAATGAGAAAGAAGTTTGAAAATGAGGGGGAAAATGGGAAAACTTGATCACTGGTCAATTTTGTTTTTTGGTTCCAAAATCATTCTCCGTGATATCTCTTACACTAAGAAAATGATAATCCCTCGGAGCAATGGTGGTCATCTCCTGTAGAATAATAATTCACATTGGTACCATTGTAATAGATCTTATATCTATTGGGAAATCAATCAAATATTTATAATTCCCAAAGTAAATACCTTAATGAGACACCATTGGTGAAGTATGTCATTTTGTATTCTTTTAATTTTACATCGTATACTTATTACAACAGCTTCTTTAAACTGTAATTACCGTGAGTTTATTGTGTGATTGTGTTAACAGTGAGACGGACAATGAAACAGAACACACTACAGAGGACAACACCTTGACACATTTCTCGTCGTTTGCTCTCAATGGCATTGACGGTACTCTAAGATGGCACCATCTGCCGGGCGACTTCGGTGAACCTGTCGCAGATGTAAAGGTAATCACTGATGAATCAGCCATGTTAGACAACATGTTTTAATTTTAAGACCTGCCATTGTACATGTACATTTGTGCTAGTTTTTGTGTTGTCTTTAACTTCGAATCTGTGTAAAATCAAATTAAGATGCGGTTATAATTTGTTTCAAATTCGACCTTCATTAAGTATCAAAAATATTTGAAATTTGATCAATATTTTTGAAGAGCAATTTTAAGTTGTAATCTGAACCTTGACAGGACATCCATGGTGACCACCACTGGAAGCTGGCACTGAAGCGCCGCCGCCTTCATGTAGGGGAGTCCCCCTGGAACCTGTACCGAGATGAACTCCTATCCTTCCTGGTTAGTGTGTATATTTACTGTGAGAACTGTGCCAAGACCTTGTCCAAACTTTATTCAAATTCATCTGAAAGATTTCCTGTGAATGTGTTTTTATCTGTTACTACAACATTTACTGGTCTGTGGATCTTTAGATAAACTTTGAATATGGTAATATTACAAAAGTGAGTTTGTTTATACTTAGCTTTATATTGCGCATCATTAATTTGATACATTGTTAACGACTGTATACTTTTACAGATGTTCAAATGTTTTAGATTGATGCCAGTTGGTAATCCTAATTATGATAAAAGCTGTAATTTTCATTATCTTTTTAATCTACCTAAAGCATCCTTTTTATTTTTCATGTCATATTCTGGTGTTATTGATTATTGAAGTAATGTATGTCTCCTGCAGCCCTTTGGTTGGCAGTCCATTGACGACACCAAACTGACCCTGGGACATTTCCAGAAGAAGGGAGATATTTTACCAGACTCCCCTGATGGTGAGCGGTCACGCCTTGCCCTCACCCCTGAGCATGTGATGGGATACAGCTACGGAGGCCATCGCCCACACAGTGACCACGAACATGTAGCCAATCCTAATGCCGTCATCATTCACAACCACAATGGTTTGGAGGTGCTTAACCTACTGACAGGACGTCCCATCACAGAGTTCCCCCTCCCTCCTGACGGGTCTCTGTACGTAGACATCGACAACGATGGTAACCATGAGAAGCTGGTGTGGGGCCAGGCTGCAGGGGTCCGGCCTTGTCACATAGAGATCTGGCGTCTACAGCCAGTCAAGGAGAAGGTCAACCAGCTGCCAGTTTGTCGGCTGACCCGAGTCTTCTTCACCACTTCCTGGGTTTATGATGAGGACAGTCTGCAGAAGGTACCACCAGTCATCATAGACAGGTGGGTACACATCATCAATAAGAATTTAAGAGATTACAAACTCATTCTTTTATTTATAGCACAAACACACAGAACGTTTTTCATTCAGCATTGCTGAGAAAACTTTGTTTTCAATGGTTTTTTTTCTTTTTTTCTGCATAGATTAAAAGGCTGGATTTTCATTATCATTTATCTTCCAGCAATACTTAGAACACCTGTTTTTACAATTGAAACATTATCTTCCAGTATTGCCAAGAAAGCTGGGATTTTCCGTTTCCTGTTGGGTCACCATCTACCCACAGGCAAAAAGGAATATGACATCATCACAACAGGAGGCATGGCCCGAGTCTCTTCCTTTGATAAAGAGGGCAACGTCAACTGGCAGGTATGACAGTGTTCTGTCGTGTGTTGTTGGTCCCAACTCATCGGTATCTGTTTCACTTTAGATTGTTGTTAATTTTTTTCTATCAAATAATAGTGTATAAGTGGCAACAGTTGGAGTCTATAATATCCAGTTCAACTATATGATTATCAGAAAACTTCTTGGCTATGTAACTTTGTTATAGAATGCTTTGATGCTCTAATGGAAACTGTTCATTTTAAGAACACAGAAGTATTTTGTGTAAAATGAAGAATTTTTGGAAATAGGTCTGAAAGTCATGTAAAACACATTTTTGTTTGAATTTGAGTTGAAGCCATTCTTTTCTTAATGTATGTAAACAAAATTTTCATCGGAATTATAGATGTTTGAGCTTTCATACTTTTAAGCTGTTCATGTGATCATGACAGACTATAAACAGGCCAATATTACCCCCCCCCCCCCCCCCCCCCCCCAAAAAAAATGATGTTGTGGTGGGTTATATTGGAATTGGGCATCTACCTATAGGCATAGTTTGGTCTGCGCTGCTCCTTCTAAAGTATGGCACCAATTTTAATCAAACTTGTGAATGTATGACTGTAAGTTAACGTTGTTCTATTGACATCAAGAGAGTTACGACCCTTGATTTACCTATGAAAGCCTTTTTCAGTCTACTACAGTACTGTTACAGTCTAAAACGGATTTTTATCAAATTTCACAGAAAGAGTACCTGACATATAACCTTGTCATTAAGTAACTGCTATGTTTTTTTAATCCTGATTTAAATAATTATGGCTCTTAGTTATCTTAGTATTACCTATCCTGCATATATATGTAGAGAGATTAAAGCATCAGATAATAATATCCTCTTCAAACACATGAATTAGAAAGGGAGAGTAGGTAAAGATGAGTTGCAAATATTATAGTATACAGGTCTTGTTGACAAGTTTTAGCAAGCTTCTTTGAATTTTTTATTTTCAGAGTTTTTAAATCAAAACTAGAAATGTTCACTATTGCGCTGCATTTGCATTCTCAATTTTTCACAAGTCTGCTAAAATAATACTGGCAGGAAAATGAAAGCCTGTCTACAACGTAAAAGTTAAAATGTGTCTGAACACTAGGGACAAAGTTTGATACAGGTAAACGGTGATATTTCTAGCATGCATGTATGTATAGGTCCAGTGATGTACTGTTGTGCTATAAGTGTTGTGTTGTGTTGTCAGGTACAGACGTCATACAGGTGGGCTGAAGCAGCCACAGAGATACGCACAGCACAGCAGTCCAACCCATCTCAGTACAAAGAGTTCACCAAGTCCTTCCGGCCCAGCACCATTCTCACCTCAATACAGGTGTCCGATAAAAGGGTATGTTTGCTTCACCTTATGTAAGATGTATGATGATCAGTTAGTATGTTCCACCTATATATAGGCATCTGATCAAAAGATAAGTAAGTCTTACATTTATACAGATTACGGATTTCATACCTTTATAAACACCTGAAAACATGTCAGATAAAAAGTTACATATGTCTCACATTTATACAGATTATGGATTTCTCACCTTTATGAACACCTGAAATAGAGAACATTTCACTTTTCCTGGATGTCTTACAAAAACATGTACCAGACTAATGTCTGTGATACATGATTGTATGAATCTTGATCTCATTATCCACCTTGTCCCCAGAATGTCCTGGTCCTGGCAGCCTACAAAGGATTGTCATTGGTTGACCTGGTAGGTGGTAGACTATTGGCTGAACACTCGTTACCATGCCTACCGACAGCACCAACTGTGGCAGGCGACTTTGACAATGATGGTCTTACGGACTTCATAGTAACCTGTAAGATGGGGTAAGTGGACTTTTTTTTCAGTAATGATCAAAAGATGTTTACTGAATATATATTTTTGCAGAGTTTTGAATGATCAGAAACAGACTAGTCTTTCTATTCTTTAAAATATGTTATTTATTTACATAATCTTATACATGTATTCCATATCATGTAATGGTGAGTTACCTATAACATACGTACAGATTTGCTTTACATATTGTGTAATATAATTTATATCACTTTTGGTAAGGGCTTCATGATTTCTGAAGAAAAATTTCCAGATTAGATTAGTACATTATAATGTTTTAGTGATGTCATGACTAGTAAGTATGCTAACCTAAAGCCTGACGTTGTAGGTACCTGGGGTTCACACTTCACCACCACACCAACCATACGTACACCATCCTGTATGCCATTGCTGTATTCTTCACCATCCTCCTCCTCTCCTGGTTCTGTACCCCAGAGAATTACTACGACGAGGAAGATGATGACCACCTAGAACTACCCAATGATGACTGAAGTAACGGGGAACATGTCGGCTATGAACCGAAAATTTACCACGTCAGAAAGAGATGAAAAAATGACACATAATGGAAGATATAAGGAAGAGTGGAACTATCAACAGTCCTGATTGGAAAACAAAGAAAGTGACTAATAACAAACAAGTTATTTATCAATGTTTGATAACATAACCATTAAGCTACAGTGCAGCAGTACAGCCTAGTTTAGAGCTGAGAATGTAGGCTCATCACATACCTTATATTGAAAAGACAACAAGAAAAATGGTTTGTGCTGATGTACTGCCGATGTCAAATGGGGCAAAGGGTAAAGATTTCCTGAAATCATTCAAACAACTTGATTAAATCGGGGATGTTTTATTTGTATTTAGATTGTTTTCGGAGAATGCCTAAGTGTATATAAGTACCTTGTTTCTAATTGGGTATTGTCGGGGCATTTTCTCACTGACCAGCTAGTTTAGGAGTCATATAGTTGCATATTCAATGGCCAAATATCTCATTTAACAGCAATTACTAAAACGTGTAGTATTGTATTGTGCTAGCAGGCACCCATCCAGCCACTGGTCATGCTAGACGTTGCTGAACAAGTGAGGAAGACCAAGGGTCATACTGCATCGTTGGAAAGTAAGCTTGCCAATAAGGCAGTATTTTCCCCTCTTATTCCTAGGCTGTTACACTATTCCTCCTCCGAGGTGTCTTATCCTGAGACTGATATTGGGAATCCTGTGGGTCCTCCCTATGAACTAATGCACCTTCCCTAAACACTGGGAACTGGTCTTGCAATGTACCTTAGGATCCCACCGCTGCCACCAAATGTAGCGTGCCATTGAGCATCCATGGGGCCACTGACCAATCCCAACATTGCTGAAAAAGGCAGGGAATCACATCGTTGGAAAGTAACCTTGCCATTAAGTCAGTATTTTCCTCTTATTCCTTTGTTGTTATAGTTCTACAGCACAGTACATATGCTTGTGTGTTCACTCACCCATTTTTTTAATTTTATTTAAGTGCTAAGTAGTGTTGTATGGTTGTGCGTTTTAGT